ATATAAACCATGTTGTGATATTGATGCAACTTTTTTATACCCGTCTTCTAATTGAAATCTGGACGCTCTGTTAATCCCCTCCATCGAATAATTCACTGCCAATGTTGTTTCAGCGCTTTGGAGGGATTGTGTTGACCGGTGTCGTGTAGCCTTGGAATTGGTGCTTCAGCGGCTTCCGTTGCATTACAAAGCAATGTACCGACTGGCTGACGTATATCTTCGTGCTCCGCATCTTCGGGTAGGTGCCACTCTTGTTCTGTTAGTGTCTTCAAAATGTTTCTTGCGTTTCTTTCCTATTATCATACCTTGACAAATCATATAGTTTCCTCTTTCCCAAGTAGCATACAACACGAACAACGAACCTAAAAGATGTTATACAATAACGAAAATCTCCTGAATCGCTATCTATCTTACCATCTTTTGCTGACCATAAACTTTCGTTTTTTGATCTAGTGTTTTTCTTTTTACCTTTTTCAGACTGGTGATATTTATCTATATGTAATGCATGATTGTACTCGTTAAAGTCCGGCGGGAGCCTGTGCCTACCTCATCGTCTGTGGTGATCAGCTGGAAGCAGTCGAGAGCTCTAAGTACCTTGGAAGCTTGATCGTAGCTAGATTTGGTGTTAGGAAAAGGATCACATCACGAATAGCGAAAGCTAGAACAGCTTTTACCAACCTGTGACACTTGTGGCGATTCCACGGCATCCGATTGTCCCTTAAGGTGTAAGGGTGTACATTGTCGCGGTTCCGAGTGTTCTCCTTTTCGGTTGCGATACCTGGTCTCTTCGCGCTGGAGACCCTAATGGACTTTGTTCGACCACCGATATCTCCAAAATATTGCACGTTTCTGGTGGATAAATCGGGTGATCAATAACGAGGATAGTCGTTGTGTTGGGTGCATAGTCGTCCTCCAAAAGAAATAATCGCTCTACACTGCCTTCGATGGCTTGATCGCGTCTTGCGTATGTCTGTCCATCATCTTCCTTTCCATGCTCTCTTTGTAAGTGCTGCATAGGGCTGGAAGAAGTATCGCGGTGGTCAAGGTATGAGGAAGCTGGCTTCAGTTTTAACCGCGGTTGGTGCAGCCCCTTTTTGTACGACTAAATGTGGTTTTCTGTTTAAAAGGAATCACCTGCCAAGCAAAATGTCCCCACTTCTTTGGGTATCACAGGTGATCGTTCGCCTATTCACGGGCAACCACCTAATTGACTTTTCCCCTGTCAGCGATCTGAAGATGAGGGCTCCATAGCGAACAGTGAACGTACTTTCACATTCAATCTTTTTGATTATATGATTTGTCAGTTGTTATGCTAACTTTAGCCCCTAGGACTTTCCCCTTCCCATGCCAAATAAATCGGTTTGCTTTGTCCTCGGTTTCACTACTATCTGGCGATATACTCTCATTGTCATAAACTCGGATTGATAAACATCTCCATTATACTCTCGATCATTTCTCACATTGGATATCTGTTGTTGTTCTTGTGCAGGACCCATTAAAAGCTTTGAGTATTCTTATGGGACCAGTAAATGACACATACAAATCTACTATCGGTGGCCTGTTCAAGGATCGAAAACAAAATAACTTCTTCCACGTAAGCCACATACGCACACCACCACCAGGTGTCGATTCTGACTAAATTTGCAGGGTGTTTGGCGCATTCCCACATCGGATATTGATCGTAGTGGAAATTTTGCAGCGCATATGTACCGATCTGTCTCGCTCACCTTGGATACGTTGAGCGAGCGTGGTGATTGGCGTCATTTAGTCCACATATTCCACCAATTGCGCAAACAACCTCCGGAAGATAAGTGAGTCTTTGTTTAGTCTTGCATTTGTCCGTGTGCAATAGTAATAATGGCTTCAGGCCGACATCCGTTATCAATTCATCCTTTGGCGTGTTTTTCACCTTGGTTTTGGTTGATTTTCCCCACTGATTGGAGGAAGATGCCCACGACCTTGAACACTACTATTACTCTCTTTCATCTGGTCATGTTTGCCGTTTCAACACTTTTCTTCGTGCACACTAAACTGGTGGCCTGACAAGTTATACTTTTGAATTGAAATAACCATGTTAAACTTCAACGATATACCCAGACCATGAACCAAAAAGGTTCAGTGAGATACAAGCCCTCACGATAAAACATTACTAGCCTGGTAGCCAGGCCTTGCACCATCAGCTCCTTTTCTGTCAGAACATCAGATTTGAAACAGGACCAACATAGGCGTTAACAGGATTACGCAACAGTAGGGTGGAGATGTTTGTGCTTATTTTGTAGTGTAATAAGAATATAACCTTTTGTCCAATTTGCACCACTAATATGTTTATGTATGCGATAACACCCCCGACCAGATTGTAATAGCTAATTAGGCGCTGAATGCGATAACCAAAGAAGTGTATTATACCATCATCGAGAATAGTGAATACTCACAATTGAAAGATGGTGGGTTTACGTTTGGTGGTTTTCGAGCCTTCTCGGTGCTTTTTCCAATTGCCACAATGTTTTTTGAACGTTCTTTCTAATTTTCTTTTTCCTGATCTTTCAGTAGACGCACTAGCTTCATATTGGTACAATTTGATGGGCGTCATGAATAAAGTGGAATATTTGATGAATTTCCGCGTGATGGCATTCACGCAAATTTTAACGAGTAACGTTAAGTCGAAACCGTTTTTTGCGGATTATCCAATGTTTTCCTCTTTTTCATTTAGACGTGGTTTCCTGGGTGAAGGTGATCGTGTATATCTTGCCAGACGCGCGTTCAATCTCATCCAACCGACCTTGCTCATCTGGCTAAACGATCTCTCAGCGTCACTTTCAGATAGTTTGCGTAAATTGGTTGCCGCGGCTGCGGCGTCTTCGGTATCGACATCGGTTCATCTCACTCAATCAGATGATCCTGTGTGCTCTCTGCAAACTCTCATCTCGGGCGATTCTTCACAAGCAGCCAGTTTTATCAATGTTGAAACACTGACACAAATCTATAGACTCCATTGTGTATCCTACTCCCGCAACTGTGCTTCCAGTTCGTCACCGCAATCAACGGGCAAACAGTCAGGGTCTGGGGCAAACCAAAGTCTTAATGCTTCTTCCTTGGCTGCTCTGGAGGTTTCTGGTTATGCAGAAGTACTCCAGCTAGCTTTTCGACTTTGTCCTTCCGCATGGGTGAGTCTAACACGTGTGTTTCTGTTTGTACTCCTGTATTTGTGGCAGATACGTTTTGGTTTGTGACAAAGACAAATGGAGTGAAACAAAGAAAAAGCTAATGCTAAACCCGTTCACAACAGTGGATCGGAATCAAGTAATGAACAATCGATGGAGAGTGGCACTTTCATTGGGGCTGTTTGTGGGGTTTTTCGCCCTGCTGTATCATTGGTGTCGTTCCAGCTTTTGCTGCTCGCGCTGAAACTCCAATGAGTAACTAAGCGTCAAACTCACAGTAAAAAATGATACAGATCACAGCATCACGTTTGTGGTCTATAATCCGCGCGTCGGTACGTCAGACGGTCCCAACCATCCGGTTGTTAGACTAAAATTGAAAAATTGATTGCTTATTTGCCGTCCAATTTTTTGGTGTTTACTCTGGGATTGGTCAGTGGTGAACACGGGATGGATGAAGCGGAATGTTCGAGGGGAGGACACTGAATTCGATTGACAGGTAGAACCGATTACGTAATCGAATTGTAATGTGATCCACTATATCGATATTACTTCCGATTAATTACGTCACGTGACATGATCACGACAGTTTAGTGGATGTTACGACCACACGGTATGTACCTTGGGCGAAGATTGCGAACGTTCTTCTCAGTGCACTTGGTTTCATAACCTGACACATAGCGGAGATAGAGAATATCGGTCTTAACACCCAATCAGAATGTTATATTCGGTCTTTACTACTACTTTTTCTCGATCCACACCGAAAATGAACTAGAATCAAAGACGCTTTGAAGCGTTGCTTTATTTCCCATGTACTCTGTGAACATTTTGAGGGCCACCAATTGAATATACATGCTACCAGATTTCCAGTTAGCTCGCAGGAATTAGTCTAAGTTTTTTTTATTATCCGTGCAGCATAGTTGATGGGTCAGCTATTGGAGTTGCCGGCAGCACCTTATTTCAACTGGATAGCTGATGGAAAAGCTCCTAACTATTTGAAATAAGCCACCGAATCGTTTTAAAGTAAAGTGGTCCGTTTACGAAAGTTATTCTGGACCGGGTGCGAGACGGGTATCACATTTATAAAACAAATAATCGTGTGAGAGCGATATTGATTCATTTTCCGAACGTGCCACTTTGTTTTCAAACGTTTCATCACTAGTCGAGATCATATCTTCAGTGCTTATGAAGTGGTAGTGTTCTGATTGTACCCATTCGCTATTTTTGTCCCTTGTTCTCATTGTGTTCAACCTGGTTCACCGGTAAACTAGTGCGAGGGGGATTATCATTTCGTCTGGTTTGCGGTTTTTGATCCGGTCTCTCACAAACAGACTAACTTCCTACGAAAAATCCGTTCAAAACCATGGGAGAAAATCAAGGCCATGTTTTATCTACACAATAGACTGCAAATACCGCCCAAAAACGATGTCAGACAAACTGGAAGAAAACAATCAACAACTATCCGTGAACAATGTGAGCAATGGATAAAAATAATTGTTGGAGAGGAACATATGTAAATGAACCGGTACGAGCAGGACATTTTACAAGCACTGCGGTTTTCACACACCGCCCCGCTGACTTGCGGGTCAGGCTTTGGCTAGCCGAAGGCTACGGTTGTGGATTCCTCATGAAAATCCACCTGCCTTATCCTGGGCAACTTGGCAGTACTCAGCCCACAAGCCAATCATGGAGCATTTTCTTTTTTATAATGATTATTGTACCATGATTTGTTTAGCACAAAGTCTGTCCTCAGACAAGTGTGAAATATAATAATAATAATACTGAAGATGTCAGTTCTACTAGTGATGAAGGGGTTTTGAAAACAAATCGCCAAGATCGGCGAATAGGTTAAATGAATTCAGCCTACCCGAATGACGTGAACCGATTTTCAATATTTTTCAACGCGATTGATGTCAAGCCAACGGGACGGTTGATACTTAGAAAACGTTTATTTCGTGAGTTAAACCTGAAGAGAGCTAGGTTACATGATTTCTGCCTGGGCAGACTCCGCTACAAATCAAGTGGTACAATACGGCGGTGGGTAACAGTTTGTTTCGTTGGATATTACATCAGTTGCACCACACTTTTGACCACTCCCCGGGTAGTGATGTTGTGACTGACGGTTCTTTTTTCGCACACAGGTCAGATTTCCACCTTCTAATTGGAACCGACTCCACGAACCTAAGCAACCAGGGTTTGGTGCTAGCTTAACTGACCCTAAAATGGTTTATTTGGTCTGGGTCGTGGTTCATCATCGTGGAATTGATCAAAATAAAAAGGATAATGCACTTTTTTCAAAAAAAAACGCCCACTTGTTTAGTAGGCATTTAAACCTCAATGCTGTTTACTCAAAATGTTATCTTTTTTGCGAAAAGCAAAATAAAGTTCATATTTAGGTGATGTACTTGAATATTGTGGTTATACCATAAGTATAGGTATTAGTCGCAGGGTCGAGTCCAGAGTTTGCACAGCCATGATAAATCTACAACTCAGAAGACCCAGATTAGCGGTTGAATAGTGCTTCAATGTCCGATGACCTTTAAACTCAAATGGGAACAAAGAATGTGCTGGAAAATCATCAGTTCACTGGGTTCATTTGATACCAAGGGTTTTGGGTGCTATTTAATGATGCGGTCTATATGATCGATGCGACGCTCCATATCACAGATGTTCTGTGTTCGGAAGCAAACGTTGGATAATTTGTAAACTTTGCTATACTACCGTTTCGGGTAATATTGAGGTTTTTAGAGTTGTATTTGATCATTTACACAAGTTTCTTGTTTCGATCACTGTTCAACACATCAAAACCTACCGGTTTCGTCGCTAAACAATTTAGGAATATGCTCTCCTGCTGTTTCATTCACTTTCTGGATGACATAGTTCACACTCCATCTATCAATATGTCTGGATTTTGATTGACTGTTGTGTCACAGTCCGCAAATGCCATTATCCATGTATCTTTGTTTCTTTTACAAAGGATGCGCGTGGGCCAAATGTAGACATCGAAAGTGTCCTACAGCGCTGTGTCGATCTGACGTCCTCGCGTGCTTCCGGTCCAGGAGGTACTCCTCCATCCTCGAATCGTCCCGAATCCGGCCGTTCTGTTGCACCAACAACAAAATCACAATGAACCGGCTGTTTTCTGTTAAATGTGTTTCAAAGCATGATACACTGCCTCCGCGTATTCGCTTTGTTATTTGCGCTCAGCGTCTCGTGCAGGCATGCAATGTTTTTATTCGCGAGGGCAATCAGAAATTGTACATTTTTAACAATAAATTCCATTCAACTGTACTGTCTTCTTCAAATGGGGGTTTGTTGGGGCGGTTCGACTGGGCTACATTCCAATCACCAATTACTTGTTTTACTTCCAATGTGTGAATAAGCGTCATAACACGTTACTAAAGATGTCTATGGCCAAAATGTCTTCTTTCAAAAGGTGCAATGAAGCGGGTGACCGTTGGTGATCAAATTTACACTGAATACTAATTTTAATTTTCACGATCATAGTATGACGACTTTTAAGGGGTTATTTTTTGTGTTCATTGAGCATTTAACTGAACTTCAAGGAAAGTGGTTGTCTGGGGGCGAAGCCTCTACGGTAACCTTACCCATTGTCCATTTTTTAATCACAATAGCAAAATTCAAACGACCACAAGCGTTGACAGAAAATGATGTACAAGGGCAAGCTCATTGCTTCTACTGATCGGGGAAATCAAGCTGCAGTCGAGTGTCTGATGGGAAACAGATCGCTCTGCGTTGCAACATTCACCTAGTTCAGAACCGGTCGAGGCTGTATCGGCCACATTTTTACTCTTCGTCGAACTCTAGAGCACAGATACTCTTTTCGTGGACACTTCTCCGATCTGAAAACGGCCCTCGAACCAGTCGACTTCTCGGAACCCTGACGCTACCTTTCTTCGAAGGATATGCCTGAGAGCTTTATACCATTGTTGAAATCTTTTGGTACCAATAGCCGAAACCAAGTAAGAGTAAACGGCACTTATTCGCCCGAGTTCACCACAGAAAGCTGTGTTCGTCAGAGTTGCCCTCCATCTTTCGTTGTGTTAGACTTCGTCATAAATTTGATTCTGTCCTGTCCTGGTGCAAGAATTTGATCAGGCCAGGCTGCACAGGACTGATAATGGCCATGGTCAATCGGGCGTCCAGATTTCTTCTGGCAGTATGTTCACAAAGTGAGCGGTAGAGGTGTCCCCTTCTGCGGGAATGGTGCAACCAAAAAGCAAAATCTTGTTAGTACATCAATGAAATCTTATTCACAATCTGACTATATTGATGTGACTTATTCACTCCAAATTTGTTTTATTCTTGGCTTGTTTAGAAACAACTTAAATCGAGTGGTATATAGGCACACACCCCATATAAACGTCATTCGTTCTGTCAGCTTGTTTCTCCACGCTACTTGCATTCAATGACGAGTACAAGGAATTTGAGAAGCGTATGAAGATTCTTTACAAAATATATGATCCATTTGCGGCGAATTTCAGATATAATCAAGTTGAGACATGCACATCCATATTTAGAATTCTCGGATGCTAGAGGCTTTGGCCGAAGAACATGGATACGATCTTCCCGACGAATGTCAATATTACTTCGTGATGTGTTGCAGTGTACATCGTAGAAGGCAGTCTATCGAAGGAGTCAGGTAAACGCCATTAATGATATTATGCTTACTAATTTCATTTTCTATACACGAACCATTCTTACAAAGCGCGGGCCATAGTTTGTCTTGCTGGAGTTTACACCGTAGTTAAGTGAACCATCGTTGATAATCATTGCTTTGAGGTGGGTAACCCTGGAGTGTATGTTCGCAAACGCCAGCTGACACTGGGGCAAGGAGTTCAAGTGTGTAACATCATGCAAACCTTTAAGGATACAAGAGAACTTCGTGAATTTGCGTTTACAAAGTTTGGTCGACGTTTGACTAGTCACGATCTCCACTCTATTCGCATGCGAGGGTTTAGTACAGATCTGTAGTGGGATTGTACGAAGAAAAGGAGCAATCCACGAGGACGTTTTCCGTTCATATTTTCTTCACAATCAACTCTGACTCGAACTGTGATATTTCAGTTCCGTTTCATATTTTCTTCACAATCAACTCTGACTCGAACTGTGATATTTTCTTTGTTTTACTTCTGTAGTGACCATGATTGTACGAAGAAAAGGGGCAATCCACGAGGACGTTTTCCGTTCATATTTTCTCCACAATCAACTCTGACTCGAACTGTGATATTTTCTTTGTTTTACTTCTGTTTGTTTTACCATCTGACTCGAACTGTGATATTTTCTTTGTTTTACTTCTGTTTGTTTTACCGAGCACGGTTATCCGCTCAGGCGTATATATAAGCTGGGTCCTGTGTTTGTTTTACCGAGCACGGTTTTCCGCTCAGGCGTATATATAAGCTGGGTCCTGTTCTCGCTACACGTGTGACACGCTATCGCTCTGCTACTGCATTTGTTGCTTGCTTTGTTTAGCGGATCGCTTTGCTACTGCATTTATTGCTTGCATTGTTTAGCGTCACCTTGGCACGTTTCGGTATTATCTAGTACCACGATTCGCCAATAAACGTCTACGACTCCCACGAGTGTTTTTGTCTACTCTCTGCTACTGCATTTATTGCTTGCATTGTTTAGCGTCACCTTGGCACGTTTCGGTACTCTGCGCCAATAAACGTCTACGACTCCCACGAGTGTTTTTGTCTACTTCGGGCAACGAGACACTGGGAGGTCGCGCGCATACTGAGACTCGTGAGAAGACATACCGGAAGGCCGTCAACCACGGTTAGCTTCATTAGTGAGCTCGCACCGTCTACTCTGTAAGTCAAATCCCTTTAGGTTCGCACTTTTCCTCACGGTTCATTAGCATTTGCACGATATATTTTTTTATCGCATTTGTACAATGT